CATCTGTCATCCATCAAACTGAAGTTGGGAGAAGTCAAATTACAGTATTTTAAACTCTTAGATCAAACAATATCAAATTATTGCCTTTCAAGAGAAAGGGTCAAGAATAAATACAAGAGTAGTTTATCTCCTTAATTTCTTTTGAAAGGAAGTAACTAGAGGGAGTTGCACATGAAGACATTAGTCAAGTAAACCCTAAGAACTATAATTTAAACATGTTCTGTGATCTAGTATTTATGAAATAAGATTTAAAAACTTTACAATTTGCCGAAAGAAGTGAGACTACAGGTAGAAAGTTAAGGAAAAAGTTACATATCTAAAATTCCCAAGGCAAAGAGATCAACAAAAAAAATCAAAAAGCATAGGCTTTTAAAACCTAACCAAAAAAATTTTAAGTTAATAGGTGTGAATGGAGACGAAGAACAGTTAAGATGAGCCAAAACGCTAAAGGGAGATATTCTCAAGGAAAAAAAACTAAATTGTTGGAAAACAAGGTAGAGAACTTGTTGAAACCAGCATTTAACTGATCTCTTATTTCAGCCTTCAGCCAATTACTAATTGAATTAAATTCTGGAAATGACAAACATGTATGCATTATGTTAATATCTTATCAGGTACAAATTTGTATAATGGCCCAAGTAAAATGCTTCCTTATTTAGGAAGCAAAGCCAAGTTGATAAAATTTTCTTTGACTATAGAATTTGTTTCTTTGTACGTCTGCATTATTAGTGAACACTGGGTGATATCTCTGGGACTAAGTGGAAGATAATATTTTAAAAAGTTTATTACTACAGAGAAACTGACACACTTTCTTATTATAGCAGTCATCTCAGTTTATTTAAATTATAACTGATACATTATTATACCTTTATGTAAGTGTGATTACAGAGTACTGATTCTGTGGTTTGGTGATTCAAGAGCTATTTGAAAATTTCACTGCCATTTGTAACACACCTTTTTGATACATTTTCCAACAAATTTATAATAGATTATGGAAAATTTAATAGTGAAATTTTTACATTTAAAACTCATCAAGACTTAATCTGCAATTCTTGCTATTTTTTCATTTGTGAGGGATTAAAATTTAACAGTAACTCAAATGGGTATAATAAAGTAAAGTGGCAGTTCAAAACAGTCTTTTGTTACTTGGCAAGGCATGTCTTCTGCATAATGCATGAAAAAGTTTATTTCAATTTAATAATATTTTTGCTGCAGCCATATAGTTCCCCCTTAGAGGAGTACCTAAATGTACTAGTCTCAGTAACTGGGGAGGCCCACTAAACATTATTTCCCTCAGCTCATTTTTCAACTAAGGCGCCATTGTCATGAACCTTGGCATAGTATTACTATCAGAAAGACTTTTATAATAAAACCCTTTGTATGCTAATCTTAAATTTAGCTCTACACACTCTGAGGATATTGCTGTATGCAAAGACCCACTGTGTTTTCAATAGTGCTTGTGAAGAAAATGAACCTTAACGAAGAATGAAATGGGACATGGAGTAGATGGTGGGAGGGCGGGTATGGGGGAAAGAACCACTATATTCCTAAAGCTGTACCTATGAAATTCGCATTCATTAAATAAAAGCTTTAATAATAAAAAAAGAACAGTGTATTTGGAAAGTTGTTTCACAGAAAAGAAAAACCCAAGAATTTGTAAATAATGAGAATGTAAAAGAACAGCAATGAAACTGTCATCCATATGAATCCAAATGATTTCCTTAATCTTAACTCTGTATTGAGTTCAAGGGTCACCACTATAACATGGAGTACACTAACTTCTATTTCACTTACTTAATTTGAAATATATTCCACAAGTATGTGCATTTAAACTCAAAGGCAAGAAGATTTCTTGTAAGATAAAGCAATGACAACCAATTTCCTACCTACTTTTTGGCTAGCTGCAAACTGCATTTACTTAAATCACTACTATATAAATTAATACTCCTAGAGTACTCCACAATAATGACATATCCTGAGGCTGCAACAATATCCTGTGCATAGGAACAACAAAATCACTCTCCAAATATGCATGAAAATAATAATAGTTAATATTTAATCACACAACTTATATGTCAGGTACAAGGCTAAGGGCTTTAAACACTATATCTTTAATCCTGACAACTCCATACTTTAAGCATCATTCCCATTTTACAGAAGAAACCGAACTGTGGCTCATACAGGAATCCCAAAGTTAGTAAAAGAATACAGAGGTGGGGCCAGCGCTGTGGCATAGCAGGTAAAGCCACCATCTGCAGGGCCAGCATCCCATATGGGCACCGGTTAGAGACCTGACTGCTCCACTTCCGATCCAGCTCTCTGCCGTGGCCTGGAAAGCAGTAGAAGATGGCCCAAGTCCTTGGGTCCCTGAACCTGCATGGGAAGACCCAGAGGAAGCTCCTGGTTCCTGGCTTCGGATGGGCACGGCTCCGGCTGTTGTGGCCAGTTGGGGAATGAACCAGCGGATGGAAGACATCTCTCTCTGCCTCTCTCTGTTTAACTCTGACTTTCAAATAAATAAATCTTCTAAAAAAAATACAGACGCCTCCTACATTTTCATCAGTCCTTTCTGTATATATAAATCACATGAGATTTCAACTTACCAATCATATAATTTATCAACAGCCAACAGGTTATGGAAAATAGTAGGCTGAGTGAGGCATGTTGGGGGTACTTTACAGAATACTGAGGGAACTTCACACTCAAGACTGTGTGATTCATTTAAAACACAAACACACACACACATCACATATCTAAATTCTGTCCACATCCTGAATCTATAAATCTGTCATTTCTGTAGCTAAGTGTATTAATTATAGAATACTGAAGATCATTAAACCAGTATAGCCATCTCAGATGCTAAAGAAATAGTCTAACAATTAGTTAAAGCTCAGATACTTCTTCAGAACCCAAATTTACTCTGATAACAAGCAAGCCTCAGAAATGGGCCTTGAATTTTATCTGATTACAGGCTTGTCTACTACAGATTATAGAATCCACTTTTTTTGGGTATTATTTATTTATTTATTTGAAAGGCAGAGTTATAGGCAGAGGCAGAGAGAGAGAGAAGTCTTCCATCAGCTGGTTCACTCCCCAAAAGGCCACAATGGCAGGAACAAAGCCAAGAGCCTGAAGTTTCCTCCGGGTCTCCCAGTAGGTGCAGAACCCAACAACTTGCGTCATCTGCTGCTGCTTTCCCAGGCACATTAGCAGGGAGCTGGATCAGAAGTGAAGCAGCCGGGACTCGAACCAGGGCCCACATGAGATGCTGGCACTACAGGCAGCAGCTTTACCCACTTAGTCACAGCGCTGGCCCCTAGAATCCACTTTTTAAGGACACATTCGTCCAGGCAAAAAAGCCAAGGAGGTAATTTCTTAAAAAATAAACTCAGTGAGGAAGGGAAGAAATTATAACAGGATACCCTAAAACATGACAAATTTGAAAAATTGACGCGTCTAATTACTCGAGTCAAATTGATACCTTACTACATACTTTGTGAATCTTGTTTCAAATATCACAAATGGGTGGACTTGCAGTTAGACTTTAACTTTTCATTACTCAAAAGTTATTGAAATCAATGACATTTAAGCGAAAAGCAACATATATATGTTATCTCCCCAGGAAATTTTATTGGAAAAACCACTTGCTATTTATTTTGGAAAGCACTTCTTCACCTTTTACTTAGTCGACTCGCCGTCCCTGGACAATTATACTTGGGGGATGACAGCCTCAACAATTTAAGCTCCTTTATAAAAGCAAGTTCAAAGAACAGGGGCACTCCTCTGCACCTAATCGCCACAGGAAGAAAACAAAAACAAAACTTCATACAGGAATTTTGGGGGCTGCCTCAGGCTGATGCATAATAACGTGTGTAGAGCAGATCCCCGGGGACTGACAGTCATTCAACTTTTTGAAAAATATTCCCATTGAGCTTTTTCGAGCACCACAGGCAACATTTCACCAGCCACTCAGTGTCTGATTTCCCCTCGGAAAAATTCTCCCGGTACAAGGCCGGGGCTGCGGCTGGGGAGGGCCGGGGAGCCCCGGGCACCCGCGCCGGCTACCCGGGAGCAGAACCACACACTGTACCCGCTCCTGGCAGGCCTGCTATGGCAGGCTCCCCAGTCCCTGGGGTTTCAAGAGCAGCAGCAGCAGCCATGGCAGGGACTCGAGAACCTTTCCCCTGTCTCCTCCTCTAGGCCTCGAGGGGTTTGCTTCTCACATGGCCCCCTGGTGGGGGCGGTGGGCGCAAGGTAGAGGCTGCCGCTGCAGCCGCAGCGCCGGCCAGGCGAGCCCGGCTCCCTCAGAACTCGAGCTACCGGCGGGCTGGCACCGCAGGACGTCGGCGGGGCCCTGGCCGGAGCGCCGATAGCTCTGTGGGCAGGCCACCTTCTCACACACCACATTTCTCCCCTGTCTGCCTCCTTCTCCGTTAGCGCTACCGGTTGGCGAGCGGGGGAGGGGAGCGAGGCGCGTTATTCCCGGGGAGCTGGAGGGGGGAGGGGAGGGCATCTCTTACCCGCGTTACTGAGGAGGAGGAGGCGGTTGGAGCGCGGCGCGGCGGGGCGACGGCGGGGCTGGGTGGGTGCAAGTAAGAGTCTTACGAAAGGGAATTAACCCCATCACCAGCCCGGACACCGGCTCCAGCGGCAGCCGCGGCTGGCAGAATCCCGCCCCTTCCCACCACGCGCTAGCCCCGCCTCTTCGTTCTCTTTGAGGGGCAACTGACTAATCATAGGCTGTACATACACGGAGTGACATGGGGAGCATCCAATCATATTTTTAAAAAATGCCCTCGCTCCACCCCTTCATCTTCTCCCGGGCCGCGGGAGCGCCGTGCCAAATCTTCCTCCACCCTCAAGGGAAAAACAACCAATCCATGGTAAGTATCCGCCCTTGAAGGACGCAAAAGACAACCAATGGTAAAACTAGGGCGACAGCCATTTTGCCCACTTGTAAAAGAGCCACCTTTTTCCCACGAGTTGGAGTCTGAGGTGGGGAAGTTCCGGGAGTTTTTACTGACCTGGACATATTTTTTTCAAAAACCTGTATTTCGTCAGGTAGTATTTATAGTGCTTTATCAGAATAAAGGAATAATTTCATCCTCCATGTGAGGACAAGTGAGGCATGCTGCCTAATGGCTTGGCTCCTCCCCTTTGCTGTAACGGGTTCCAAACTGAACACCTGGTTTCCCCAGCCTCAGTGGTCGAGGGCGGGGTGACTGCTCTTTTCAGCCCTAAGCCGACTACAGTTCCCAAGATGCTTTGCTTCACCCGTACCCTTTTCTCAACTTACATCCCGAGCGGCCTGATGGGAATTGCAGTTCCTTGCGAGGTACCCGTGCAGCCCTTGGCCAATGAGAAGGAACAAAGTTTTGAAAGACTTGGAGTCGGTGCTGGAGACGAATTGTCTCCAGATTGTAGTTAGTCCTTTACACTACCCCAACAGAGGAGAGAAGGGACAGAAGAGTGGCTAGAAGAGTTTTATCGGGACACCCTAGGAGTCTTAGATTGTAGGTATTTGAACTCTCCGACTTTAAGGTCGTCCCTTGAACGTCACTTCCGCTAAGGGCGGCCACATCCCAAATCTGTGGCGGGAGTTGGAGATTTTGCGGCGACTGCAGCAGGTGTGGACGTCTAGGAGTGGCGTGTCGGGCAAGTGGTTAGTTTCTGGCGTGGGGATAGAAAGGTGAACGGAATTTAACTGAGTTTTAAGAGAGAGTGGGTGACATGGGAAAGGATAATTCCTAAGCCCCTAATGCCGTTCTGCACCCTTGGGTTTCGGTTTTGGAATCCCAAATGTCTCTTGCCCTGTTTACTACTGGATTGCTCCTGTAGTCGTATATTTGTGGAGGGTGCCTTTAATAACTTTAGCCCCTAAGAGTGAAACATTGCTTCTCCTCCTTGCGATTGAAATGAATGGACTCAGAAGTTCTGAGCGAACTGCTCCGACTTTTGCAAACATTTCCAAGTTGGCTTTGGTGGAGGGAAGCCACAGACTCAGAATTGATCATTAAGAATTGTTCTCTCACCGTTCTTTGAGTAATGTAGCCATCAAACAAGGTGCATCAGGGTGCCAACTTTATAATATACTGATTAATACAGGTGTCATTAAAAAGACTTCCTAATATAGCCTATTAGGTTCTGCTTTTCCCCCCTTCAGATAGCCAGATTGACTGTATAGGTATGCTGTTGGAAGTGCTTTTGAGGTTCCCAGGGTATCTCGTTGAATAAAAGAGATGAGGGGATTATCAGAAAAGTGCTTCCTACCCCAAAGCTGATACCTTTCATTCTTGAACTCTTTGTTCCATCATTTTGATAGAAATTTATCAGATAAATTCTAACAGATTGCTCCACGATTTCACGTTTCTCTCAATGATACTGGAAGTATTTCTGAAGCACTTAACACTGTATTCAGCACTATGCCAGACCTTGGGTTAGAGCAGCGACAAAGGGCTCCTTGTTTAAAAGTTGTTGTAAGGAAGAGAATGGCTAAACAAAATTAATGATCATGCTACTTATTCTTTTATTCTCTCCCTAAATTCAGTCAGTTCTTTGTTATTCATATTTTGTGTGTTCATTTGATCTCTTTGCCTTCCACGTTTGAATTAAAATCATATTTTTTATTATTTTTTAAACTGAAACACTAAATATGTACCTAATAAGTATGAATGGTTTAGTGTCAAGTAGATGAAAAATTTTGAAGTGTAATTCCAGATATAGGAATGTGACTATACCTTTCAGCCAGATGAATTTGTGGATCTGGCAAAGCAGTGTCTTTTGCTTTTTAATGAAATTGAGATTCTCAATGATAATTTTTCAATATAGTCTAATATAGATGCTTAGTTATTTTTTGTTTTTGCCATGAGCTTTTCCAGTGTACATCAGATCAATAAATATTAATGATGATGGGGGCAGATGGTTACCCCAGTAGTTACATCAGTGCCTGGGATGCCTGCATCCCATAAAAGAATGCCTGGTTCCAGTTCTGGCTCCATCACTTCCAGTCCAGCTTCTTGGTAATAAATACACCCTGGAAGGCAGCAGGTGATGTCATAAGTAGTTGGATCCCTTTCACCGGCATGAGAGACCAAGACTGAGTTTCTGACTCCTGGTGTTGACCTGGCCCAGCTGCAGGTGCTATGGCCATTTTGGTAGTGAACCAGTGGAAAAATCTCTGTCTCTGTGTCTCTGCCTTTGAAATAAATAAAAATAAGTTAAAAAGAGAAGGAGGGAGAGAGAGATACAGACAGACAGCACTTGGGACGCCTGAACCCAGTCAGAATGTCTGGGTTTTGGTCCCAACTTTACTTTTAATTCTAGATTCCTGTTAATGTGCCCCTGCGAGGCAGCATCTGATTCCAGCTTCCTGCTAATGTGCACCTTGGGCAGCAGCAGGTGATGGCTCGGGTAGTTGCGTCTCTGCCACATTTATGGGAGACCCAGATTAAGTTCCAGTCTCCTGGCTTCAGCCTGGCTCAACTCTGGCTATTACAGGAATTTGGGATGTGTACCAGGGAGTGGAAGATCTCTCTTTTTCTGCCTGTCAAATAAATAAAAAATTTAAAAGACCCAGGAAAGTATAAGAAAGATAGTAAAGGTCATCTGTAATCCTATTACTCTGAGATACCATTGTTTATAGATAGCTTTCTCTTTGCCTATACGTATGTAAAGTTTTAATGGTAACATACTTTCTTTTCTCAATTTTGCAAAAATTTTTCAAACTCAACAGTTGGCTGTGTGTATGACTTGATAAATATCAATATCACTAAAACTTATTTAAATTTTATTTTGTTTGAGAGGCAGAGAGAGAGAGAGAGAGAGAGAGAGCTCCCACCTATTGTTTCACTTTCCAAATGTCCACAATGGGGCCTGAACCAGAAACTCAATTCAGGTCTCCCATGTTGATTTGCAAGAATCCAACAATTGTGCCCTTAGCACTACCTGCCAGGACCTGCCTTAGAAGGAAGCTATAGTTGGGCACTGAACCTGGGTACTCTAGTATGGGACACATCTTAACTGGTATCTTAGCTGCTAAGGCTAAACTCCCACCCCTCAATACATTTTTGTTGGCTACCTGTGTTTCATTGTGTGATTGCTGCTGATAAATATTTACATTGCTTTCAATTCTGAAATTCTTTTTTATTGTGTAAAAACATGTAATGAAGTTTACCATTTTTAAGTCTACAGAGGTGTTAAGTTTGTATGCATCTTGTCCTGCAACAGATTTCTTGAACTTTTTTGTCTTGCCAAACTGAAATTCTATAGCCATTAAGTAATTCTCCCTTTTTGCCTCTGTCACATATTTTGCTTTCTGTTTCTTCAACTTTGGTCACTTTAGGTACGTCATTTTAGTGAAATCATGCTGTGTTTTAGTTTTTGTGACTAGCTTATTTTACTTAGCATAATGTCTTCAAGGTTCATCCATGTTGTAACATGATAATATTGTGGGGGTACACAGGTCCCCAACTGTGTTTATTCCAGGATCTTGTTTCAACATAAGAGATGAATTCAAAGCTGATGGGAAGATGGCTTATTTAAAGAGATTGTACACACTAGAAGTGAATGCCTAGCAACCTCATGGGGGACAGTGACCCCCACCCTGGCTGCCCCCTTTATCATGTAGGGAGTGGTGCCCTAATTGAATATACAGACAAGGTGGAGTTGAGGTAGGGTGCAAGTGAGTGATGAAATCTGGGACGGTTTCATGGGGTCTCCACCTGGAGCTCAGATCACATTTGTTCGAGGACTGCTGGAAGCTTCTTAGCTCCTTGTCTCTCACTGACTCCCTGCTTCTCCCACATCAATAGGATATCCTTATAAAAGACTAATTCATTGCATATATGTGGGTAATTCCGAAAGTTCATGGAAAATGGTATTAAAAGATAGTTTATTTTGGTGCCAAAAATTTTGAAGTTCATACAGTTTTTTCATATTATACATTTTCCATGAACATTTTTAAGTACCCTCATATCTGTCACATTCCTTTGTCCGTTCATCTGTTGATGGATATTTAAGTAGCTTTTATTTTTTGGCTTCTGTGAATAATGATGTGTGAACATGGGAGAGAGAATATCTCTTCCAGTCCTTATTTAAACTCATTTGGTACTCATATATACCCCCAAATCAGATTGCTTAACCACTTAAATTTCATAGGCAGCGAGAGCGCTCTCTTTGTATGCTTGCCTGATTATCCCTTGAATCTATTTTATTCAAAGTTAGATTATTTAACCACAAATACTCTAATTCCTAAATTGCTCTTCAGAAAGGATGTGCTCATTTTCTTTGCTACTAACAGTGTTTGATAGCACCCATTTCCCATTTTTTACTCTATCTAATATGATTGTAAAAAATGATCATTGGTCATTAATTTCCTTTGCATTTAGTTGAGGTCTATTGATGTGGAACTTTTTTATGTTTATTGTCCATTGGTATTTAGTGTCTTTTGAGTAGCCGCCACAGCACCAGCCCCTTATTATTTCTTTTTTAAGTGCTGTTTTAACCATGAGATAAAAATGTAAATTATTTTAGTGTTCAAATTTATTAGTCTTTTCCCTCATAGTTTCTGGTTGTGATACTTACAGGATAATATATAAATACATATATATGTAATTAAATATGTGTATTTTATGCATTATAATTTACCTATAATTTTCTTTGGTGTATGGAACAAATTAAAAATCTACCCTTTTTTGAAAGGCAAATCTCAGCATTTATCGAATGATTTCATCTCTCCCTACCCACTGATTTAAGTCATTTTTATCATGTTTCTGATATTCAGATTACTATTCTGTTTCATTGTTATGTCTTTTCTTTCACTTGTACCATACCTGGTGTCTCAACTTTTTTTTTTTTTGTTTTTTTTTTGTTGTTGTTCAAAAATAATTTATTTGCTTCTGATCACAACGCAGGAAGTTGCGAGGGCAGTGGTGTGCCCCGTGGCTGCCCCCTTCCTGGTCTGCACCTCATACACAGCACGCTCAGGGGCCCAAGCCTCTCCTCCCATTCTAACAGCTACAGAGTATGGGGGATGGTGTCTCAACTTCTATAACTTCATAATACATTTTAATATCTGGTATGTAAAGGGTGCTCACTCTCTTCTTTAGACATTTTCTTATCATTGTCAAAATTTCTTTATTAAAATTAATTTGGAACCATTTTGTCAAGTAAAAAATCTCTTCATTTGTATATTTTAACAAAATTCAAGTTTGGCATTTATATAGATACCAAATACTTTCTCATAAAGAAAGGTAGATAGTCCATTTATTGTTAATGATACCAAATTTTTCATAGGTATTATTGACTCATTAGTCCTTCTGTTCTATGTTAAACATGGTTTTATTACACATTTAGATTTACATGGTTAGGGTTGAAGAGCATATCTTGTTTTTTAAATGATATAATTGCTTTTCTTAGACTGAAGCATATGCATTTTCTGGGTAGCTTCTTATACAATGTGATGATTTCCGAATGTTTAACTCTATTCCAAGTCTATAACATTGACTTCTAAATCTGTCCTCCTTTCTTTATTCTCTATCTCATTTATTTGGTCAACAAACATTTGTGAGCATCTACTAAGAAATACTAGATAATCAAGAGGATGGGCTACAGTTGACCTAGGTTTGATTCCTGGTTGTGCCATTTGTTTGTGTGACTTTTGGTAAATTGGTTAACCAGCTGTTTCTTGGT